TCACTTTTTTCAATTTTGGAGGAAAGAATAGAATAACTCGCTTTAAAATGCATTTTGAGCTGTGTAAATGTATTGGAATGATGCAGCAGATGATTCGAGAAATAAGTCAAGCATTTAATTACAAAAACTACTTAAATTCTTGTTTTTATACGGGTCTGTTACGAATCACCCCAAATGCCTGTTACGCAAGAAATACGTCCCTAACCATCACTGGACAAAGTAAAAGCAACTTATGCCACGTGGTTACATTGTAAAGTGGTCACGCTTCAAGGCCCCAACGGTACTTCGATGGTGATTCATACCTGGGGAGCCTCAGACAGAAACTTCCTAGAACTCAAAATAAAAGATTTGCCTGTTTTCGGTGTACCCTATATTTCAGACGCCCTCCAAAACTATACCTGAGCACCGATCACATCCGCTTCGATTGTTGAAAGACCCTGTACTTGAAGCGAAAGAGGGGTCATACTCAGATTTCCCTCTGCTCCCTCCACTTAAATTAATAAACACATTTGTTACGAATCGCCCCTGTTACAAATCGCCCCATACTCCCTTACTTTGATCGAAATGTGTCCACTTCCGGCTCGATCAGGGCCATTTCCGGTCCCGTTCAAATTACTTCCGGAGTTGAGTGGATGCCAAATGGTACTCCCCCTGGGGAAAAAATCCCTAACGTCCCTAACTAAAGGGATATTTCGCGGCCCCTTGGACGGTCCCCATGGAAGGGCCAGCCCCTATGGATAGGAACAGTCCCCTTGTCAAAGGGCCGCGAAATATCACTTTGGTAAGGGACGTGCCGCGGAGTGTTCAAAACATCTACCTCTTGAACATCAGTGTACAACATAAGAAACGCTTCCTGAGTAAACTTTTGACGCTGATACCAATGGTAGTGTCGCCGACACTCTATCTAAAGCCGTTTACAAGATACCCTTAATAGGTGTGTAGCGGGTTTGCCTACCTAAATCACCCACATTTTGCCTAACTGGCAGGCTGATTTATAGGGCCTTGTGATCTGGAGGGACCATCCCCAAGTCCATAGGGCTGATCCCCAATTCCAAAGGGTCGATCCTTAAGCTCATAGGGCCGGTCCCCAAGTCCATAGGGCCGGGCCCTAACTTCATAGGGCCCGGCCCTATGGCAGATAGGGCTGAGCCCCTTCCAAGGGGCCAAGCCCTTTCTCGGATAGGGCTTGGCCCCTTCGGAAAGGGACCGTCCCTTTAAAATCATAGGGATTCTTTCCCTTGGGCCAGAACGTGTCTATAGAGATGGATCGAAAGGGACGTCTTAAACGGCGAAACACACTGCGCAGGTGACGAAAAACATCAAACTACAGCAAAAACGACGATTTTCACGCCGTTTTTTTTTGACAAAAACGGCCTTTGACCGGGCCAAAGACCTTGTCCGACAGCTCTGCAAAAAATTCACAGCATTCGGAAATATATTCCGCACCAAAAGCGAGATAGGGCATGTCCAATTTGTTCCTGGTTATGTTATGCTCGGAAAAGTGTCATTTTTGACGTTTAGACCCATTTTTAAGGGGGCAGTAGCGTCATTTGCACGTGTTTTGACGATTTTCGAACCTCCTGTTTAGACGTTAATATAAAGATAAGTATGAATGCGAGAGACAAACGGCAGGCACCATTTGAAAGATAAAAGTTTTTACAACATTTTCAAAAAAAAATATTTTGTTTTAGCATTGAATTAGGATGTTTTGTGTTATATGCAAAAATGGTCTGCAAAATTACATGGTTTCACTGCGCGCACGATTGCAGCCAAAGTTTTTAACTTTTTACCAATCGGTAAAATGCATCTGAAAAAGCATGAAATTGCCCATAAAATGACCCTTGGGTTTCAATATTGGGCAAGAAAAACTATTGAAACGCTCATCTTCAACTTAAGATGGAAACGAACCACATTTTTTCTGGCCCAATATTAAAACCCAAGGGTCATTTTATGGGCAATTTCATGCTTTTTCAGATGCATTTTACCGATTGGTAAAAAGTTAAAAACTTTGGCTGCAATCGTGCGCGCAGTGAAACCATGTAATTTTGCAGACCATTTTTGCATATAACACAAAACATCCTAATTCAATGCTAAAACAAAATATTTTTTTTTGAAAATGTTGTAAAAACTTTTATCTTTCAAATGGTGCCTGCCGTTTGCCTCTGGCATTCATACTTATCCTTATATTAACGTCTAAACAGGAGGTTCGAAAATCGTCAAAACACGTGCAAAAGACGCTACTGCCCCCTTAAGGCCTCTGATGGGCAAGAAGGTGGTGGCCCCGGCCAAAACTGTTTTGGCACTATTCTTACAGTATCCTCGGGACCCCATTTCTGTGAAAAAAATTTCGGTTTTAGATCCATCGCTCTAGCCTAGCCTTCATGCTCCGCTGTGCCTTCCCAGTGCGGTGGTGGACGGTGTCCTGCCGGGCCAGCCCAGAGGGAATGTAGGCGCCCAGATACACCAAGCTGCTCACCTGCCTTACCCTGTATTCGCCTATACATGACCGGCCGCGGTAGTCCCTCTGCCGGCACGCCGTAGCCCGTCACCATGTACTCCGTCTTCTCGAAGTTCAGCTCCAGGCCTAGCGTTGCCAGCAGAGGAACCAACCTAGCGAGAAACATCTCTATCTCTCGCCCGGTGGCCGCAAGCAGCAGTGTGTCGTCAGCATACGCAAGGATGGCCGGCAGCAGCAGCTCTCCGTAGTTATCGACGCTCAGGCTGGGAGTGCTTCGGACCAGCTCGAGGATGGCCCGATGCAGGACGAGTGTGAAGAGCCATGGAGAGAGGCTGCACTAGACTGTCCCACGAAAAATTCGATGTTTGAAAATGCAACCTCTCACCCCGGACTTCAGTTCCTTATGTAAAAAAAGGACTCCATGATTTTTTTCAGAATTTTTGAACAGAATTTAGAGGTCGCGCATCGGCAAAAACACGTTTTTTGCCATTTTTCTCGATTTTTTAAATATGCCCTACCACCACACCACACCCAGCCCCACCCCCTCTCCTTAGTTGGACTTCTAGTGACCCCGTGACGTCGTTCTGTAGGACACCCGCCCCTCCTGAGCCCATCTAGACCCTCAAATCGGCACCCAAAACGATAAAAATAAGTCGAAAATTTCATAAAAAGCTGCAAAAGTTGTGCAAATGTTGTGTTTTTTGATAATCTGACATCACAGAACGATAGAGCGTGAAAAATTACATAGGGGTGAAGACAAGTGAGCACGCCACACGGTCAGTTTCGGTTACATAAACGTGAGCGAAATAGAACGCCCCCAGAGCGATTCTCACGTTTCGGGGTAGTTTTGGCGTCTCTGATTTGCCGAAAGTGAGAAATATCCAATTAAGTTTTTCTGATTTTTGGGGTCCTGGATGATACTGGAGTTATGGCAATGGTATTTATAGTAAAGACCTTGTACTTCCTTCCTAAAAACATGAGCCACAAGGTATTCCCATACGTTTTAGTGGGTGTTTTGATCACGGAAATTACGTTATCACGGAAGTTACAAAGTGTGAAAATCGGCTTTAACGGCTGACTCGGGCTTGCTGTGGCTTAAAAGTCGTGCCAGGGTCAAATCATACTCTAAGCCCGACGGAAATTTTTTTCACCTAGTGCTGCTGCAACATTGGGTAAAGGGTGCCACGGAAGTTACAGGTAATTGTTGATACACGCCATTTTATAATGCTCTAGCCCGCTTTGAGACCGTGTACAGCATCTTAGATTTCCGCGACCCATGCAATTATATCCCAGGGACTCCACTTTGATAGCTTGTGTCATGGAAAGTTAAAAGTTTGGCTTGGGGAGAAGTCCAGAGCTGCCTTTTCGAAATTTGTGTAGTGAAATTGAATATACGGTGGACATTTTTCGTTGCAGCATAAGTACCTTTGTAAGAAGTCTGGCGTATTGGTCTTCGGTTGAAATTAGCTCGAGACATGCCAAGCTTCGAATCCCCATCGACAGTTGGCAGCATTTTCGAACCACACCGCCACACTGGGGGCGGAAAGTTCGAGTATGTTCTCTTTGGACAATCACGGAAGTTACATTTAGGGTATTCCAAACGCTACGTAGACCAATCCAACGAACCTGAACTTTTCGAAATGTGTGCGTTTAGTGGGCAATGGCCCTCCCCAACATCAGAAAAAAAACCCATGTCCATATCTGCGCTCGTTTGGGCACAGGAGACAGAAGAAACGAAACTACCCCGAAACGTGAGAATCGCTCCCCACGATTTTATACATTTCCTGCTCAAAACTTGAAGTGTGGGCTTTTAATCCTTTTGTGGGATGTCAAGAATCATCTGATGATTGTTTTATATGAAATTTGTCGAAATAAAAGCTCTGCATGTAATAAAAGTACAAATATATGGTGCGGGTCGCTGGTGGCGCCTCCTGTCAGTAGTCACGGGAACTACATCGCCGCCTTTTCGCGCGCTTTGCCGCGCACACGAAACGAACCGCCCAGCGCACAGTGGCGCGAAACGCCAAAAAATGCGACATCGTGCGACTTAAAATAATTTTCCGATCTGTCTGCAGAGCTCTCAAAAAACGCCCATTTAGGCCGGCCGCGCCAGGCCGACGCGGCCTTCCTACCGCTGAAAACAGGCCGCATAGCCGTCCCGGCCTCGGCCTGCGCAGGCCGACCGGCCCGGCCTAGCGGCTGGGTGATCGGCCGGCGCCAGGCCGCGGACAGTCAAGCGGCCTGTACTCGGCCGCCTGCTGTGCGTCGGAAAGTGACGTCACGTGCTAACCCCCTCTCCACCGGCCAGTACCTGGCCGCTCGGTCTGTCGAAGGCCGGCTCGGGCCTAGCCAGCTAGGAGCTAGGGCGCGCTGCACACACGTCCCGCCCGCACCCGCACCGCACCGCACCTCGCACCCGCCCGCGCTGCGCGCGGCCGCGGCGCCGCCCTGCGTGAGCGCCAGCCCCCCCCCCCTCCCCCCGCCCCTTTGAACGCCAAAAGGGGCAATTTTGAAAATGTGCCTAAAGCTCGTGCCAGGAATTGTATCGTGCTTTCTTCAAATCAGGGTGGGAAAAGATCAGAGTCCTCGTAACAAAAATTAAATTTATTGTCAATAACTTAACAAAACTTAAAGTCTATTTTTGACTAGTTGAAAGAAACAGAAATAAAGCTACGTCACATCTCATTACTCATCGTCCAGCAACAGCACGTCAAGTCCAAATTTACGGATGAAATCGTTTAGGAATAAATAATCATCCACGGTTTCCGAAGCCAAGCAAGTCTTCTTCGGGCTGATGAGATTTCCCGCGTGGCTGAACACCCGTTCCACGGGTGCACTTGCTGCCGACGTCGCAAGTATCATTCTTGCCACCCGGCTTAGCTGAGGGAAGATTGGCGCCTGCATACAAAATGTGGTTACAATTAGAGCTGCGTTCGTGATGCTGCAGGAAGACAGTTTCCAAGCGCAGATCCAGGGGTGGGGGAATTGCCCCCCTGGCCCATAGAAAGCCACCTGATCTGATAGGGGCAGCAAGGCAACATTTTGCCCCTGTGGGTAGGCTATTTTGCCCCCCTCTCAGGCCAGCTCTGGATCCGTCACTGAACATTACTGTTGCTCACCTTGGCTTTCCACCATTGCAGCACGTTGCTAGACCGTACAGTGACATCCTGCATTAGGAGGTACTGCCCCACTTCATCTGCGATCTGCTGTTGCTCCTGGTCGTCTGGCACCAGACTATCATACTCATCGTCGCTGTCCTTCCGACGGATACGGCGCCTTCGTTTTGAGGGACTTGGCTGGTCTGCGCCAGTGGCGGTGACAGTCACGCCTTTTCGCCGTGCTATGCATGCAGCCTGTACCTCACAAAGACGGCGAACTTCTGCCAAAACCTGAAAGAAATTGAGGAAAAAAATAGAAACGCTGTCGGCGTCTGTGAAAAAAAAAAAAAGATTTTCTACCAGTTGCCTACCTCTGTTTTCTCGTGCTCAGACATATTTGGGAGGGAGGCAAATTTCGGCCAGAAAAAAAGCCCCATCTTATGCCGCAAGGAAATGTTGGGCGCTACTTTGCGCTCCAGTTCTTTCAGCAACGTGGCCCTAAACACCATAATGTCCTGGGAGTCCTCCTGCTTTGGCTGCAGATGCTTCCTTAGCGTGGTGAACCGGGGAATTACATGGTGGATAGTGGGTACTTTCGATGCCTCCAGCACTTTAATGGCACTCTGAATAGGGCGCAGAAGTTCAATGATGTGGAGCATCAATGTCGTTTCTTCTTCAGTGAGAGCAAGGATAGCTTTGTCCTTTGAAGAAAGAATCTCATTAACCTTGAAAAAACCAAAAAGAAAAAACAGTTTAAAAAAAAAACTTCAAACGCGATCAGCAAACTCAATAGTGTGCTCAGTACACTCCCCTGAGCGTGTACTGGCGAGCATACGTTCAGGGGAGTGTACTGACTTCACCGGAGTTTGTTGACAAGTGGTCACCTGATAGAAAATTCGGCGAATTAAAAACTTTCGTACCTGGATCACTTTAGCAAGTGAGGGTGGGTCTTGGGTATTTTCGTCATCGGGCCAGATGAAGAAAGAGCGCATCATGGTAAGCACCGACATCCACCTAGTGTCCACCTCCTGTTTCAAAGTGCCGCCCACCAGGCGCTCATTTGCTCCGGAATTCTTGATGAAATTGGCTACATCCTTACATTTCTTGATAAGATTCAGGATTTTCAAAATTGGTACCAATAGAGTGTGGATGTGAGCTTTCACTGTGGATTTCAGTTGGGAGTCAGTCTGGGCGTGAGTGGTAAGGGTGACCACTTTCTTGAGGTGCGAGGCATGAAACTCTTTTCCCTTCCTGGTCCCCAGTTTCTCAATGGGTTCAACTACCGAAATCAAGTCTTGCAAATCTTTACAAGAAATTGAAGCAAGAATATCACCATGCCCCAAAAGTTCCAACGCCTTCTTCACCTGAAAATAAAAGAAAAATATTTCAAGAAAAAAGGAGAGCTGCACTGCACTACACTGCTGCGGTGCTGCGATTGGCGGTGGCGGGTCCAGCGCGGCGGGTGCGAGAGAGACAGAAACGTCTTCCAAATACTGGCGTTTCCGTCGCTCTGTCTCTCTCGCACCGAGGGGCTGTGCTGCGCGGCGCCCCGCGCCCCGGTGCGGGTGCGAGAGAGATAGAGCGACAGAAACGTCTTCCAAATACTGGCGTTTCCGTCGCTCTGTCTCTCTCGCGCCGAGGGGCTGTGCTGCGCGGCGCCCCGCGCCCACGCCCCCCGGTGGCGGGTGCGAGAGAGATAGAGCGACAGAAACGTTCTGTTTGAATCTGACTTCCGCACCGTCACCGTCCCTCTGTTCGTTTCAGAAAACGGCAAATTAGCGAGGCGACTTACCGCATTGAAGTTAGCCTTCACGGACTTTAACATTGGGAGGCATGATTTGAAGATCCTTTGGGACAGACGGTGTGTGCGCGGGGGAGGCTGCAACTTTTTCTTGAGCCCGGTCAGAGGTCTCTGACGGGAAGACTTAAGTACCTGGACGCCTCTTGTCACGGCCTCCACCACAGTGCCTCCCACACTACCATAGAGATCAATTTTGGTGAGAATTGGGGTCAATGATTTCTTCACAGTGAGATGGAGGGCGTGGTCCATACAGTAGTCGCGGCTCCTATCTGCAAGGGCCGCCACAATGTCCGCCCCGTCGTCGGTTACCTCGTGTACCTTATCAAAAAGGAAGAAAACATTAATAAATAGGCTGGGCTCGGGCCATGACAAAACTATCTCACTCCCACAGTCTCTCTCTCTCTGTCTCTCTCTCTCTCTTTCTCACAAACACACACACTCACTCTCACACACACACTCACTCTCACTCACTCTGTCTCTCTCACTCACTCACTCTGTCTCACTCACTCTGTCTCTCTCACTCACTCACTCTGTCTCTCTCACTCACTCACTCTGTCTCTCTCACTCACTCACTCTGTCTCTCTCACTCACTCGCTCTGTCTCTCTCACTCACTCTGTCTCTCTCACTCACTCACTCTGTCTCTCTCACTCACTCACTCTGTCTCGCACACACACTCACTCACTCTCACTACTCAGTCCTACTCTGTCTCACTCACTCACCTTTTCACCAGGCAACTGAAGCCTGGCAAAGTTGGAGTCAATGGCTTCACGAATTACCGCCGACGTGACTTTTTCCGCGTCACAGTGTGTGGTGAAAAGAACATGGTCGTTTAGTTCAAAGTCCTCGTTGATGGTGGAGAGGGTCTGGCAGTAGAACTTTCGTTTTCGGAGGCCACCACCGTCCCATCCATCCACTGAACCAGACGCCAGACCGTCCTCCACATCTTCTCTCAATTTCTCGACAAGGTATGCCCTTCCCTTGTCTGCGAGGGCCTTTACCACGGTGGTGACTGTGTTGGCACACGGAACGATCTCGGCGGCCTTCACCAAGCCGCACTCCGCGCCAATCTTGATGGCTGCTTGGATCACTGTCACAAACGCCAGATGTTCGACAAGAGTGGGCGTAATGAATTTAGCTGAACATAATCCAGCCACACTGCGTTCGAACTCCTTTACTTGAGAGGTTGTCGGTGGGACCACAGGCCGAGGTCCTGGCGCTTCACACTTGTGGTCGGCCAGGTTGCCCCTCCCACTTGTTAACATTTTAACCTTGGCGCAGGGCCCGCGACACTTCACAAATTTAATTTTCTCTCCGGCCTCGTCAACCACCCGCGCGAAGTTCTTCCAGGCCGGGCTCTGCGTTGGGATACCCTCATCTATCAACATGAGGGTGTACTCGCCACTGGGTCATTCCATATAAGATTTACATGGATCTGGGTGACCTTTGACGATTTCGACCAAATTTGGCACGAAGGTAGCCCTAGTGGTCGGGAACATGCCCTCAAATTTTTAGGTCGATATCTCAAGTGGTTTCGTCAGAATCGGCATTTTAATTTTTTACTCTTAAAAATCTTGTAATTTCTTCAAAATGCCTCAAAAAGGTCATTTTTTATCGGATTTTCATGCGGTAAAGCTATTCTGACGTAAAATGCGACGAGGAATCCGAATATGCCCTCAGATTTGGTCTAGCGTGATAACCAGTGGAGTAAATTGCAAGAAACATGAAAATGAAGCCATATTTCACGAGCCTGCCTACCCTAGAATAAAATCCAAATCTGCACTTCCGAGCAGTTTAAATTGTAGTTCATTTTATGGGCTTTCCATATCTGTATTCAAAAATAGTGGGTGTGGCCCTCCCTTAGGAGCTGTAGGCCGCAATAAACAACTCTGCATTCAAATTTAAGCTAAGCAAAACACACATTTTTGAGCTTTATAGCTCAGGGTGATGAGCTACACGCATGCCGCTTATATCATTCGAAAGGGAATTTCAAGACGAATCCAACGGTACCAATATGAGCCCGATCGGGTCAGTGGATGCCAAACTTCGCAAAAATGCCGCTAAAACTCAAAATTTGCACTAGACGTTTTTCCAATTTAAAAAATAAGTAAACGGCAGCATTTCAACTTGTCAAATGTGTACTCATTTACTCGAAATTTCATAAGCTTTCGATTGGTATATAGAAAAAGTTGGGTTTCGGCCTCTAAACACAAGAATTCTCAGTTTTACTGAAGCTGTGCGCGCGAATCGGCCAAGACGCCCCGTGAAGGTAGGCAGCCAATCCGGCGCGCAGTCTTCCCGTCTCTCTAGGGATGTTTAGCTGTACCCGTACTACCCCTCACCCTACCCCGCTCCCCTCCCGCAATCAGCCCTGATGCAATTGGCCAAAATAGGTGTTCATCCACTCAGGATGACCCCCTGAGTCGCCCTGCAATTTTTTTTGGCACCTCCAAACCGTTCAGATTTTATAGCCATTTGAAACTTTTGTCAACTTTGAATGTTGCAATCCTTGGCTACTTGGAATGTGTAGTCAGAAAGAGACCAGCCAGGTTTCATTAACTTACCAACAGACCATTGGTATCCACAGAAGTAATAAAATTTGGAAAAAAGATGAAAAACTGATGAAAACTTCACAAAAGTAGAGCTTTTAAAATTGGTGGTCCTTCGATTTTGATAATACTTGGTTCAGAACTCACCTACCCTTAGTCGAACAAGCCTACAAAATTTTAACTGTGGCCCAGCTATCTAACTATTGATCGGTCCACATTTTATACCTGAAGACCTTATTTTGGTATCGTAACTTGAACGGCATGAGACAAGAGTGCTCGTATTAAATCTTGGAATCTTTTTTGAGCTATAATCAATGTGCTGAAATCTTGATCAGGTTTTTGAATAAAGCAAGGAGAAAATTTAGTCTGGAAAGGTTACTTCCATATGTCAGAAATGGTCTGCGTAGATATTTTTTACTCATTATCTCCAAAATATCAACGTAGAGGCTTAACAATTAAAAATATGTCTCAGGACTAGAAATGCCTTATTTTAATGAATGTTTGAGGTCATATCTGAGCTCATGTGGTTCTAAGATTCAATACGAGCACTCTTGTCTTATGCCGTTCAAGTTACGATACCAAAATAAGGTCTTCAGGTATAAAATGTGGAGAATTTTGGAGATAATGCGTAAAATATATCTACGCAGACCATTTCTGACATATGGAAGTAACCTTTCCAGACTCCAGATCAAGATTTCAACACATTGATTATAGCTCAAAAGTGATTCCAAGATTTAATACGAGCACTCTTGTCTCATGCCGTTCAAGTTACGATACCAAAATAAGGTCTTCCGGTATAAAATGTGGACCGATCAATAGTTAGATAGCTGGGCCATAGTTAAAATTTTGTAGACTTGTTCGACTAAGGGTAGGTGAGTTCTGAACCAAGTATTATCAAAATCGAAGGACCACCAATTTTAAAAGCTCTACTTTTGTGAAGTTTTCATCAGTTTTTCATCTCTTTCCAAATTTTATTACTTCTGTGGATACCAATCTGACTACACATTCCAAGTAGCCAAGGATTGCAACATTCAAAGTTGACAAAAGTTTCAAATGGCTATAAAATCTGAACGGTTTGGAGTTGCCAAAAAAAAATTGCAGGGCGACTCAGGGGGTTATCCTGAGTGGATGAACACCTATTTTGGCCAATTGCATCAGGGCAGATTGCGGGAGGGGAGCGGGGTAGGGTGAGGGGTAGTACGGGTACAGCTAAACATCCCTAGAGAGACGGGAAGACTGCGCGCCGGATTGGCTGCCTACCTTCACGGGGCGCCTTGGCCGATTCGCGCGCACAGCTTCAGTAAAATTGAGAATTCTTGTGTTTAGAGGCCGAAACCCAACTTTTTCTATATACCAATCGAAAGCTTATGAAATTTCGAGTAAATGACAAGTTGAAATGTTAAATTGGAAAGTGCAAATGTTTTAGCGGTATTTTTGCGACGTTTGGCATCCACTGACCCGATCGGGCTCATATTGGTACCGTTGGATTTGTCTTGAAATTCCCTTTCGAACGATATAAGCGGCATGCGTGTAGCTCATCACCCTGAGCTATAAAGCTCAAAAAAGTGTGTTTTGCTTAGCTTAAATTTGAATGCAGAGTTGTTTATTGCGGCCTACAGCTCCTAAGGGAGGGCCACACCCACTATTTTTGAATACAGATATGGAAAGCCCATAAAATGAACTACAATTTAAACTGCTCGGAAGTGCAGATTTGGATTTTATTCTAGGGTAGGCAGGCTCGTGAAATATGGCTTCATTTTCATGTTTTTTGCAATTTACTCCACTGGTAATCACGCTAGACCAAATCTGAGGGCATATTCGGATTCCTCGTCGCATTTTACGTCAGAATAGCTTTACCGCATGAAAATCCGATAAAAAATGACCTTTTTGAGGCATTTTGAAGAAATTACAAGATTTTTAAGAGTAAAATATTAAAATGCCGATTCTGACGAAACCACTTGAGATATCGACCTAAAAATTTGTGGGCATGTTCCCGACCACTAGGGCTACCTTCGTGCCAAATTTGGTCGAAATCGTCAAAGGTCACCCAGATCCATGTAAATCTTATATGGAATGACCCCACTGTTGATCTTGGCGGCGACCCGTTCCTTCTCGGCCATGTCCGCGGCATACTTCGCCTCTCGGCTTCCCAGGCCACTAGCAGCTGGAGCAGGGCGGGGGCCAGGGCCGGGGCCAGGGCCGGGGCCAGGGGCTCGGCCAGCTTGGCCTCCTACAAGATCACCGTCACGTCCCTCTCCCTCCATCGTCACAGGTGTGGGTCAGTGTGTGCGCGCCGGGAAACTTGCGGAACTAAACGAGCCGGGCGGCGCGCCGGTCGGTGCGTGCAGCGCGGAGGATGCGGGGGGAGGCAGGGCGGGGAAGCAAAGCAGACAGCAGCGGTGTTGACAAACCAACAATCCGACTACTCTAGGTCAGTTAGAACAATAAAATATTTTTTTCCCACTTTTCGATCTTCCATTACACTGTGCTACGGCCAGCAGCCGGCCGAACGTTCGGCTGCTGGCCGTAGGTGACCAGCCGGCCAGGCATCGGCCGCCTCGGCCCAGGCGGACCGGCGAAACACCGGCCTGGGCAGAGGCCGAGGGGGTAAACACTTCAAGAAATCGTGTACAGACTACTCGGTATTACGCTGTATTACTGAGGTATTACACGTGTATTACGGCCTTAAAATGCAAAAATTTGGCACATTTGACCCGAAAAAGGTATTACGACCCCGTGTATTACGCGTAATACACGGTTTTTGTGTACAGGGTATTACGCGAGTGGTTACCCCCTCGGCAGAGGCCGCGTGCGGCCGGCTGCCGGCCGGCGGTCTCCCGCAGACGCCGGCAGAGCTGATTGGCTTCGGTCGTCATTCGTGCATTTCCGACACTGTCTCACTCCAATTCCCGATCCCGTGCGGCCAGCGAGGAGGCCCCTCGGCCTGGCGCGGTCGGTCTGAATGGGCGTTTTTTGAGAGCTCTGTCTGTCTGCTTTTTTCACTGCGTATGGTCATTTTATGATGTTCTCTAGCAAAAGAAATGATTTTCTAGTAATAGCTGGGCATGTAGAGCTAAAAATCGCGAAAAACATGAAAATATTGTAGGGGCACAAAAATAACAAAATTTGTCAAAATAGGAATAATTTTCCAATTAAATTTACGAAAGAAAAACCTTTGAAGCCAGAAAAGTCTGGCCGACCTCGCTACAGCGTTGCGACCATAACAAAAGTTGTAGGCCTTGTCCTTGGCGTTCAGAATCTGTTGAGAAAAGTTGCCCGTTTGAAAAAAATGTCGCTTTTACAGGCAAAAAACGTGTAAAAAATGGCAGATTTTGGTACAATATAATCATGTTTTTCGCGATTTTTAGCTCTATATGCCCAGCTATTACTTGGAAATCATTTCTTTTGCTAGAGAACATCATAAAATGACCATATGCAGTGAAAAAAGCAGACAGATCGGAAAATTATTTTAAGTCGCGCGATGTCGCATTTTTTGGCGTTTCGCGCCACTGTGCAGCGAGCGTTGTTTTGAATCGTCGTTTGTGTTTTGGGATTTATTGTGTGGAATGATGGCGTCCCGATCGAGAAGAGGGTGCAGGCTCACCTACCTTTGAGCTAAGGAGACAGTCATTCATAGACCAGCTAGACTCTCTGTTTGACGTAGCTCATCATGAAGCTACAAGCCAGCACCGACAAGCCAGTGCAACCTCTTCTTCCGTCGGGACGGCATCATTCCACACCATAAATCGGGGGCGTTCTATTTCGCTCGCGCTTATGTAACCGAAACTGACCGTGTGGCGTGCTCACTTGTCTTCACCCCTACGTAATTTTTCACGCTCTATCGATCTGTGATGTCAGATTATCAAAAAACACAACATTTGCACAACTTTTGCAGCTTTTTATGAAATTTTTGA